CTCCTCCCCAGCCACTGCCTCTTCCACAGCTGGAGTTAGAAACCATAAGCTCCTACATACTTCCCCTTGCTTCACCCTCTACATCCCTCTTCCCTACTCAGCCAGCAAGAGAAACCAGGAGTCCCGACTCCCGGCTCTGCAATCCCGCCTTTACTCTAACCTCCAGCCATGGCAGACGGGACACGCACGTGCGCGGGTTCCACCTACAGGTCCAGGGCTCCAAACTCAAGAAGTTGAAAGAGACTCCAAATTACTCTCCTCAGCCCCCTCGGTGGTAGCTATGATCCCCACACCACGATTACAGCTGGGAGGGGTCCCCTTTTGCGAAACATCCCAATGCAGGCAGCTCCACAACTGTGGAAATGAGATACTCAGTTAGGCAGGGGCTTAAGGGCTCTCCTGAATCGGGGCTGGTAGCCACAAGCCCAACAGCTATTACTGGTACGGCCAGCATTCCCAGAGTCGGCTGCAACATGGGGGCTGAGGAGGAAATCTTTTTACCCCCCAAAACATTTTAGAATCATAGAAAATTCTGGTTGAAGGGCCCTCAGGAGGTCGCATCTCGTCCAACCCCCTGCTCCAAGCAGGACCAGCCCCAACTACATCATCCCAGCCACGGCTTTGTCTACCCAGGTCTTAAAAAACTCCAAGGATGGAGATGCCATAAACTCTCTGGGGAGCCTGTTCCAGTGCTTTACTACCTTCCTTGCGAGAGTTTTCCTAACATCCAACCTCAACTTCCCTTACCAAAATTGGCTGAAATTCAGCATTTCATGGGAAGCCTGTCTGCTCTGGCTAGAGTCCCAGGGTCCCATTCTTTACCCCCAGCCACCCCACTGCCCACAACAAGGTCTATGGCTTCTAATGTTGCTCAGTGCTGGCTCTAACCCACAGACCCTACTCCCGTGAGTGGAAACCCATGAGACTATTCACATACCTCCAAGATTTGCTCCCAGGATTATTTGTGCATGTCACGCTTGGCAGCCACGGGTTAGGACAAGATATAAACCCTGGCAGCAGGAGCCAGCCTTCTTAGTGGACTAGAGTCAGGCTGCCTATAACTTGCCCTCTGTCTGCCCTGGGGCTCATTTGTCCTTGGCAAGCATATCCAGAGCCCTGGAGAAAATCCACGTAAGCCCAAGCTATAGCCAAGGGCATACGGCAT